TAATTTAGCAGTGCCGAAGCGCACACAAACAAAATCACACCCTTGGGTTGTGACACTAACGTGTAGTTTCAACTGTACTGAGAATTCACCAGCCCCCACTGCTGTCGGGATGAGTTACACATGATTAGAACCTCAGGTATCCTGATTATATCTTTGGGGAAAGGGATATGTTCCCCTCCATTGCCTGCTACTGAAAGAAGCAAAACTAGGGAAAACTTGTTCAAGCCAGGGTTTAGGACAGTGCAGAGGAAGTATATGACTGGTAACTTAGTACCCACTGTGCCATATGACATCAACATCCTCTCTGATCCACTCTGCTGAAGGAACAGGGCTGATGAAGGAAGTGCAGCAGCAACAGAGGAGACAGAATAAGCAAATTCTAGGAAATATACAAAGTAGCATTATATGGCCCTAGTTTTCTAAGCCATTACTGAAGTAAACAGCATTAATTTTCGACGTAGTTTTTGACGAAGCCATCACAAGAACAGTCTAAGCCATCACAAGAACTTGGATGGGGAGGTAGGTGTGAAGTATAAGGCACCTGTGAGAACATTGCTGCTAGTCTAGGCCTACCAGTTTGGCCTCAGTCTACAGTGGTTGTACCTCTACATAGTTGCATTATTACATTGCTGTAAGGGTAGGAAAATATGTGGCATGGAAATATTTGGCCAATTGCTGTTTTCACTTTCTCTGTTGTACTCAGTAGTTTACAGGGTTAACATAGACATAGGTATGAATAACGAATAGCCAAGTCACTATCAAAAATCATTAGCCTGAAAACTAATTCAAAATGTGGATAAATTCATTTTTATTAGATTAATCTGAAAACAGAAACTAAGACCTATGAACTGACTTCTCCTTTACTTACAAGTTAAAATGTAACTGAATGACTTTAGGCTACACAACTTAGTTATAATTACATAACAAAATAACTTAATGTAAATTAGACATTATAGTCAACAAAACGCTGTGATTTATTAAAAGTATAATAGTTGCTGAATTTTTATTAGACCTATAAACAAAGAACATGCTATTCCCAGTATTTATAGATATAATTGTTAAATATTTAATTAAGCTTAAACTTCCACTTGAACTATGCTCACCACAGTTAAATCTAACCAACTGCTGTTGCTGTTTATAACAACCACACATTTATTGTATGCTTATTTTTATGTATAACTGGTTTAATATAAAAGTTGTATCTTTTCTGTGTGTTATGAGCATTTCTCCAGACCTCTGCAGTATGCCGCCACTGCAAACTGTTGACTGACTGAATCTAATTTCCAAATTATACCCCTGAGACAGCGGATGTCTGCACAGCACATTTCAGACTGGTTCTATTCCACCTCTAACACACTGCAGCAGTACATAATGTGGGGCCAAGGAAGGACTTGGTGGCCACAACAGAGCTGTTTTCTGGCTAGGCTCAGCCACTGCATGGTCTTTTAGGATGGCTTTCCTTTTTTGGTGTCTTTTAAGAGTGGGGATTTAAGGCAATTTTCAGGCTGTTCAAAACTGCGGCATTGCGGACCCAGATTTTAGGCTAATGCTTGGCTAGGTACAGGCGTTACACTTAATACATGTTAGACATGCAGAAAGCACTTACAGCCATAACAGAACAGATGTTCATGGCATGTAAAGCACTTCAAAAATGGCAGATCCTGCTCTAAGTTAACTCTCGATGGATGTAGTATTGGTCTAAAGAGCCTTACCTTGGAGCGCTTTATCAAATAGCTATACTAGAGGTGCACTGATACATCGGTCCAATATTGGATCAGCACCAATATAAAGACAATCGATTGTATCAGAAATTGGCCTGATGCGGCCAATAATTCGACTGATAAATGCCCATGCATGTGCACAGCCACAGTGCAGCATGCAGGTGGTGAGGAGCACAACCCGGCAGCTTGGAGAGCTGCAGCAGCTGGTTAAGTCTGCTGTGGTAGAAAGGGAGAGGGGAGGGAAGGAGAATGGGGGGGCAGATCAATGCCCCCCCACAGTGAGGGAGGGAGTGGGACAGGGGCTGGGGCAGGCACTGCCCAGCCAGGGCGGAGCAAGACAGGCACAGGACAGAGCTGCAGGTTGTCCGGGGCAGCTCCCACTGCTGTGCACTCCCTGGGAGAGCCTGGGGGTATGCACAACCCAATTTCCAATTACTACAGGAAAATGAAGAGAGGAATGTACTTCCAGTTTAGTTAAACAGTGCTGTAGAACTAATTGTCACACTTGTCTATTGCATATACTGCATGTACTCCACATAGGATACGAAACGCAGGGCCGGTCCATCCTATCTTGAGGAACCTGCAACCACAGGGGGCCCTGCAGAGCCAGAGGGAGAAGCCACGGCCCCTCCCGCATTTGGCAGTAGCTGCCGCATTTCCACTGTAGCCTACCCACCCACCCCGCAGGTTGGATGTTTGATTAACTGTTCCAGCCGTAAATTCTGGTCACCATCCCTTCCCCCGTGTCCGGTGTGCCAGGATGTTCATTTACCGGCGTAAGTGGGCCGTGGGATGGGAAAAGGAGCCCCGCACAAGCTGATTTGCCCCACGCCCCACACCCTGCTATGGTCGTCTCTGCTGATGGATCAGGGGGTCCCAACAAATTGTGGGCTGGCCCTGCTGAAACTCAAAGATACAACTGTAGCTCTTTTAGACATAGCCAAGGTAGGATTTTGATAATAGCATGGCTATAACAGCATAAGGCTCAGCATAGATTATGGTACTATTCGTGACACTGCGTAAATACTTGGTAACTCGGCCCACGTGGAGCTCTGTGCTGTATGGCTATACTGCTATCAGTACTCCAGATGAAGCTTGGTCTCTTCGGATCTTGCAAACATAAGAAGGATTTTTGTGCATTTCTGCAAAATTCATTGATGGTATGATTGTAAAATGGTACAAAAGGAAAAAGTTGTTCCATATAAATTTGAAATCCATGATGTATATCCCTTAATACCAGGTGTGTTATTACTTCCTATTTACAATTAGGTTTCCCAACTCTTTATACTGCCGTCCAACCAGGCCCTGACCATCTAAAAACAGACTCCTCAAGGCTCCATTATTGTTTCCGTATATGAAGCAGTCGTAGGAAGCATGCTTTCTCCTCAAACACTCCATTCAGAGGCCAACTCCATTATTTTTGATGTCCCCTTAAATTATTCTCTCAGATGGTAATTCTTCCTTATGTCATTGACAATGACTTCTTTCAGTGTATCTTTCCTTGCAAATTAAAGTATACTTTGTTGTTGAAGCCTTATATTGCCCAGAAAGTGGTCCTCTCTTTTCTCCCCCTATATTCAAGTGAGGATTTTGGCTCATTCCCACTGAGGAAAGAGATACAGCATTCACTTTTTCTGTTTCTTTTAAGTAAAAGAACTTCCCTCCTCTCTCCCTGTCCTATTTGGACTCCTGAACAAGAGCAGGAACAGGGCTGGAAAGCCAGCCCCAAGCATGAGTGATCATTGTTGACCCTGACACTTTCCCAGAAATGCAACCAGGATAAGTACAGACATTCAAAAAGCCTGAGGCAGAAGCAATTCAATCTAGGCAGCTTCCTCTAAACTGCATAGGTTGAACTAATAACCAAATGAACTGACATTCAGTTTTCAATTGGGAAAGGCAGGGGCAGGCCTGCACTGACCCAGGCCAGTAGGCATGGGGTGCAACAGCACATCTCCCAGCCTGCTGGGCATTGCCAGCCCAGCCAAGTGTCCCCAACAGGCTTCCCAATACCCACAGAGGGTTAAGGAACCCCCTGTCTGGGTTCTGGCCCACCTTAGGGACAAACAGCCCTGGGGAGCTGAAGGACATTCCTCCCTACTCCCCTTCCCAGCTGCTGATTGCTTCAGCTGCTGCCACAGGAGGAAGCATGAAGAAGTCCTCCATGCCAGGTGCCTGCCTATGCAACCCAGCATAGGGACACCAGGGAGCCCCCACTTTGGGGTGCTTCCCCCTGCCCAGGGTCCCCCAGGCACAGGGAACTGAGGGGAATTCTTCCTTTTCCCTAACCTGGCTGCTTGCCTCAGCACTGCCAGTCTCTGGGACTCCCCTGCAACTAGTTTTGCTTCAGACTCATAGCAGCTCAGGCAAAACTGCCTGCAGAGGACCAGGAGAATTTCAGATGCTGCCTCAGACTCACAGGAGCTAAGACAAGCATCTCCAGGGTTTGGAAGGGAAATTCCCCTTGGGACCCTAGGCTGGGGTGAGGGGAAACCCCACAATGTGGGGCTCCCCATTGCCCCCATGCTAGGCTGCATGGACAGGTACTCAACAAGGAGGACTTCTCCCTCCTTCCTGTGGCAGCTGCTGAAACTGTCACCAGCTGGGAAATGGGAGGAGGGAGGGCTGTCAAGGGTCAAAAAGCACCCACCACAGGGGCTTTCCCTCCCCCCATGTGCTGTGTAGACCCTAGTTGGGGGGGGGGGGGTCTGATGGTCTGTTCCCCACCCCCCAGTCCCTATGGGCTGACAGATGTGGGCAGAAAGCAGGCTAAGGAGCAGGGGGGCAAGACAGTCCCTGCTCCACTGGAGCAGACAGCCTAGCCAAAGGCTGCAAAGCATCCTGGGATGCTAGAGAACTGCAAGTTAACTTGAACCAGGAACAGATCTGGAACAGAAGTTCCATAAACCCATTTGATTTAAATCAATTAACTTTGGTATTACATCCAACCAGATTTATCTTAAACCAGTTTTGCCCTTCTTGAGAGCAGTTTGTGTGCACTGAATTTCTGTTCCCTTGTGTGATGAGCGTAGTTTTAGAAGGAACTGACTGCAAATGAACAAAGAACTCACCTTCCTCCAGGACTGCTGTTGCTATCCTCACTGTCCCATTGTTCATTTTTACTTCTTGGTATGGGTGGTTGCAACATTTCAGCAGCCAATGGATCTGCATCATTTTCCTCACGGCCAATCCATTCTCCAATCACACGAGGTCTTAGAAGAGGAGCATTAAAACCGGTTGTGTCCTAAGTAGAAATAAAAAACCAAAATACAACCCTGCATTTTTCATTCTAAAACAAGTTTATATACTGGAAAAAGGAGCAAATCAAAGCTTTTGGCTTAACCTGGTGTATTGGTACTTCCTGGAATAGAACAGTGCATTAAGATGTCAAATGGCTGATGAACATCCTTGGAAGCCTATGGAAAAACTTCCAATAATTTTCATGGACATTGGAAGATACCAAACATTTCAAGCAACATTGCTTACGGTGGGATTAAAAACATCCCTTCTTTTTTGTTTTAGAGTTCAGTTATTTTAAACAGGAATTACACCTATTCATCATTCATGATATGGCTTTAAGCTATGCATTTTTAATAAACCCACTTGTATTAGAGGAAGTTCTGTTTCAATTATGTTAAGTAAAGAATTAGGTCAGTTGTATATTGAAGAACACAACCAAAGTAATATATGACAGTTGAACATCTCTTTTTCTCTTGAATTATGAATTCAGTGTGTATATCTCACTGAGCAAGGGAATCAGCACCTAGCTATTTTAAAATAAAAATGATCAGGATGGGTTTTTGTTTTGTGTGTGTTCTTAAATTCAAAATCAAAATAAGTGTTATTTGGTTAATATTCCATGCATTGAAATAGATTATTAATAGTAAGTACAATGTATTGCCATGCTTGTAAACAGACTTTCTAAAGACATTCTAAGATATATTTTAGTATCAATTTGTATGTAAAAAGATAAGTGGCAAGATTTATGAGTATGAGACAACATATAACTGGTGCAGCATTACATTAAGGATTTAAATCACAGAAACAAATTGTCTGTGTGAATTGTGTAACAAGACTGACCTGAGATATTAGGTAAGTCTTCTTCATTTTCTCAGTAGTACACGCTTATATGCACAGCAAGAGCTGAAGTGGGACAGTAGTGCATAAACTGAAAAAAAATATTACACTCCAAAACTGTCATCTGGAATGACGTGATGGGGATACTTATCGTGTTCTCATACATTTAATTTTCAGCACAGTAAAGAAATTTCAAACACAGTGCGTCTAATTAGAAGAGATGCAACAGATTCTTAATTGTAACGGGAGACAATTTTGGGAAGACAAATCTTTTTGGTCACTGTTATCTGGTTCTACATCTCATTAAATATTTGTGCTGTATAAACAAGACAGTACTAACAAAGGCATCTAGAGAAACAGCAACAGCGTGATTATTTAGCTTAGCAACCATACTTTCTTATCCTCCTGAATAATAAACAGTCTTTAAATGGGCTGTAAATAACTGGAATGACTAATCTGGGTTATAGCAAATGTACAGTATGAAATACTAGCAATTATTCATAAAATAAAATAATCAAAATTATACTAAGGTTTGGAATCTATACCTACCCAGGTACAGTAGAAAAGAGTAAAGTAGAAGTTAAAAGGCAAGTTATATGTGATCTATCTCTCTTGATTCTTATTGTGTATACATACACATGAATACTGTTTACTCAGCAGGTGTCTGGCTCTGCATCAACAGAGGACTTCTTATATGCAAGTAGAAATCTTCAGCTGCCTGTTTTGGACTTTTAAAAGCACCTTGGCAATCATGTAGTGATACAGGAGCACTTTAGAATAAGAAAGAATGTGACCCTATATGAGAGGTGCAGGTCTGTATTATGTGAGACTCTCAGCTTTCATTGTTTTTTAAAATGAAACTAAGTGTTTATCAAATATATTTCTAGTCCTCTTGTCACTGGAGAAAAGCTTGAAAAATACATGCCAAGTGGTCTTTATCAGCCCCCAAATAAAAAAAAAAAAACACTCAGATATGCAAGTAGTCAAATATCATGATTTTTTAGACAGTCTCTGGATTTGGGGGTTCTAATTGTTTTTGGAAGACTTGGCAATTCTATTGATTATTTCAGAAGCCTCATTTTTAAATCAGACAATTATGTTTTAAATGCTTCGGTACATACTTCAGACCAATTAAAAAAAATTATCTGTCAGGCCCTTGATCCACCTCTACCACATCCAGGGAGCTAAAGGGTACTTGATGGAAACAATAAATATGGAGCCTGTTACAGGTGTAATTGATCTTTTAGTTCAACAGTCATGACTTCTTTTTATTCAATAGCCCAGCAATTAAGGTATTCACTCAGCATACGGGGGATAATAAGTTAAATTTCCTCAACTGAGAGCACTTGAACTAAACCTCCACCAAAAGTGCCCTAATCACCAAGCTAATAGGTGGTTTTGAGGGAACAGCTCCCAATATCTTCTGTTGATAGCATTCACTTTGTACAACCATTTCCCAAGCCGGGAATGGAACTCAGGTGTGCCATTTTTCCAGGTGATTGTACTAATTATGCAGTTAGTCACACTCTT